AGGTATGTCCGTGCCCTCGCTTCTTCCAAGATCAAATTAAGGAAATCCAAGAATATTTTCTGTCCCCAGCATTCCTTCCATTCCTTCTCCCCACTGCCCTTGGCAGCCAACATTCCCTAGGTTGAGGTGCACAACAATAAGCCCTAGCAACCACATCCTCATCGACCACCTTGAGACCGTCATCCCTCGTCCCTACTGTGTAAAAGGGATCAAGCCACCGCTAACCATTGACCCTAGACGAGTAACCTGGCCGCTTGTCGGACCGCTGTGGGCGTCATCGCTACGACCTTGATTCATTCAGGCCAGAGATCCTGATATCTCCACTTTCAATTCCTCTTGCATTTACACTATCTCTAAAGAACAGTCTCCTCTGAGGATGCTCATTGAGTTCTGCCTCACCTAATCGCTTCGGTCAGTGACCTTCGCGCCGGCTAATCGCTATCGGAACGAGAAAGAGAACGAATAGGTCGCTAGGGAATAGAGACATGGAACCAATGAAGCGACACATTGCGCCCTTAAAAGTCGAAAAGACAATCACCAATCCTTGCGGGTCGACCACTTCAGAGTCTGGAGACCCTTCTAGCAATCATTACTATTCTACACAGCACAGTCTGCAGATGTCACCACCTCTGACGCCTTACTGCGCAACCTCGTCCAAAGACAGCAGCATGGATCGGACGGAGGCCCCCAGGGCCGTCTTCCACAACTATCTACGTGCATTCTATCCGTTCCATCCGCCGGGAGATGTTTCGCCAGATACGATTACTCTGCCATTGGACCAAGGAGATATCATTCTGGTACACTCGGTACACACAAATGGCTGGGCTGACGGAACGCTTCTGGACACCGGAGCCCGAGGCTGGCTACCCACCAATTACTGCGAAGCCTACGACCAACTCCCCATGAGACCTCTCCTGAAGGCATTGACCGACTTCTGGGATATTATCCGAGGTGGATGCGGGTCGTCTCTTCGTGACTTTGGAAATCAGGATCTTGTAAGGGGCCTGATTGCCGGAGTACGCTTCCTTCTGGTGAGTGTCCTGAGTCAAGTGATCCAAAGACAAGGCAATTGACAGCGCTCCAGGAAAAATCAGAATGTCTCACCCGCGACTCGTTCCTTGTCCGAAGGCACGAGGGTCTGCGAAGAAACCGAAAAGCATTGCTTTCGGACCTTACAGCGCTTGTTCGTACAACCAAGAGTTTCCAAGTGATTGCTAGCGGAAATCCCTTACAAGACGAGGTCGAGTACATGGTCGATGAGATGCTCCTCAAAGCGTTCCGCGTCGTGACCCGCGGTGTTCGGTTTCTCGATATCTGGAACGAGGAGGTTGGTCTGAGTCGAACAATCGCGGAGCTGGAGCAAACCAAGGATTACGCTTCTCCCCTTACACCTGCATCCGAGACATTTGTCATGTCGGAAAGGGCCCCCTCGGAGGCTGAGACCGAACGAAACGAGTCCCGAGTTCTCAACCGCAGCTGCATGTCTATGAGTCGCTGTTCCACCCGAGTGGACATGTCTGAGCAGCCACGGCCCGTTTCCGTCGCCACAAAACGGATATCCATCTCCCACCGGGTGTCTTACTCGGGACCTGCTGCAGCTTCCCGAAACGCGAATCTCGCATCGGAACGACTCAACGCCACGTACGATGCTTTCCTCGGCGTGCTTGGTTCATTCATTGGTCTCCACCTGCAGTCTCGCTCCTCAACCGAGCTAGTAGTCACAACCGAGCAGGCTGTCCGGTCCTGCCGGGGTCTGCTCACTGTGGTCGAGGCCGTCTGTGAACACGACTCTCAAGGCAGTGCGCTCCTCGAGCGCGCCAAGGATACGATGTATGAGCGACTGTCCGAGCTCGTTTTCGCTGCACGGGACGCCTTCCGACCCGCCCAGTCCCCCGACGACGAGCTTGTCTTCATGCCCGATGAAGGAAAGCGACTGGTCGACGCCGCCACCGACTGCGTCCGAGCCGCAGGGAATTGTCTGGCCAAAGCTCGCCTGGTGCTGGAGCAGGTTGGAGATTTCGAACTCGAGGCACTGCCGCAAGACGTTGCGACGCCATTGGTCGGTGCCGGACCCGAGTCGCAATCGCAACAGCAGAAAGGCGACCAGCCTGGAATATCCCTACGACTCCCACCACCTCCCCTGCAGATCCCCCAGAACGCAGATCTCGACTCCTCCCCTCCCACCCCAGGTCTTACCGATGATACCACTCCATCTTCTTCTTTCAATTCCCGCACCCTCAGCAGCCCCACCATCGCCGCAACCGACGAGGCGTCATTGCCATCCGCTAGCATTCCTCCCCCCAGCCCAGCGAAGTCCTCATTCTCCTCGTCTTATGATGCGACCGCTGGTGTCAAAATACTCGCGAACCGTATCAGCCATCCCAAGTCCGAGATCGGTGAGTCTTTTGGCCGTGGAGTGACTAGTACTGGAAGCAGCTTCACCTACCACAGCCACCTCCGTGACTCCGAAATGAGTGGAGTGTCTCAAACTTCTACTCGCGCCACATCTCCAGACATTGGCAGCTGCTACCAGGCTCCATCGCTCAAGAGCTGTGTCAGCCACTCGACGCTGGCTGAGGAGGGAGAGGAGACCGAAGTAAATATTCTGGAGAAGACTTATGCGCATGAATTGATCTTCAAGGATGGTCAAGTTATGGGCGGCAGCCTTCGGGCGCTGATCGAGAAGCTCACATCTCATGGATCAACGCCAGACGCGATGTTCGTCTCGACCTTTTACCTCACCTTCCGTCTATTTGCGACGCCACTGGAGTTTGCCGAGGCCCTTGCTGAGCGGTTTAACTACATTGGCGATACGCCGCACGCCGCGGGACCCGTGCGTCTCCGCGTGTACAACGTGTTCAAGGGTTGGCTGGAGTCACACTGGCGTCATGACTGCGATGACTCGGCGCTGGATTTTATTGTCAACTTTGCCAACACTACTTTGATGCAATCCCTCCCCTCCGCCGGAAAACGCCTTCTGGAACTGACGAACAAGGTTTCGACGCTCCAGGGACCCGTTGTGCCCCGTCTCATCTCGTCCATGGGAAAGACCAACACCGCAACCGCACAATATGTGCACCCGGACACCCCTCTCCCCCCTCCCATTCTCAGCAAGAAGGAGGTGAACCTGCTGAAACAGTGGAAGAACGGCGAGGCTGCAATCAGCATCCTGGACTTTGATCCATTGGAGCTGGCCCGTCAGCTCACCATCAAGGAGTCACGCATCTTCTGCGCCATTCTTCCCGAGGAGCTGTTGGCGACGGAGTGGATGAAAAAGAGCGCTTCACTGGCCGTCAATGTCCGTGCCATGTCGACTTTGTCCACCGATCTCGCCCATCTGGTGGCTGATTCCATCCTGCAGCTGGAGGAACCGAAGAAGCGGGCGGCTATCATCAAGCAGTGGGTCAAGATTGCTAACAAGTGCCTGGAACTCAACAACTATGACACTTTGATGGCCATTATCTGCTCTCTGAACTCATCAATGATCTCGCGTCTGAAGCGGACCTGGGAGGTGGTATCGCAGAAGACCAAAGCCACTCTCGAGACCCTACGGGGCATCGTGGATGTGTCGCGCAACTATGCTGTCCTGCGGCAGAGACTGCAGACCCATGTTCCGCCGTGTCTTCCTTTCGTCGGCACCTACCTCACAGACCTGACGTTCGTGGACCACGGGAACCAGCCGCTGCGAAGCCTGCCTACCGATGACGGCGAGATGACCGTCATCAACTTTGACAAGCACATGAAGACCGCCAAGATCATCAGCGAGCTCCAGCGGTTCCAGATCCCCTACCGTCTCACCGAAGTTCCCGAACTTCAGACCTGGATGCAGAACGAGCTGGTGCGGGTGCGTTCCAACGGCGAAAAGAGTCTGCAGACTTTCTATCGTCGCTCTCTCATTCTGGAGCCGCGCGAGATCACGCCGCGGCCGACTTTGCAGCCAGAGTCTAGCGCCTCCTCTATCATGGAGAACGCCAAGGACAAATTTGACCTCTTCGCTTGGACTCATCCTTCCAAGGCCAAGTCGGTCGCTACCAATAGTTGATTCTATTGGCAATATCTTCTTTTCCTCATGCTGATTACGGCCGTACTGACGGCCATTGAGCTTATTTTACGACTTTACGACTTCTGATCGATCAGATTTTGATTCTCTTTGTTCATGCTTTATACGATGCCATCGCTTATTTTGATCCGTACCTTCGTTGTCGATACTTCTAATATCTCGGGCGGCGCTTGTGATCTCAAAATTCTTGCTCTCATTTTCTTCTTGCGATCGTTCTGACAAAGCGACTGGATTGATTTGGAGTACCCTCGGGACATCAAAAGTGTGCATAGCACAGGTGCTCTGGGATTAGACCCCTACTACACTGAGCCTCGCGGCTCCGGAGGCTACAGAAAACAGGAATAGATACCCCCTTGGTTGTGGATGCTGGAACGTCAATTCGTCGCGAGGAACTGTTTTACTATATTGATTGATTTACTGGATTGGACTGCATTGGAAAGAAACTTGGTTGGAAACTGTGATACCTGGGTTTGGATACGGATATGGATCGCATTCGGTTGGAGGAAAGGCATTGTACTGTACTGTATATATTCATAGGTTCAGGTCAATTAATCATTGATCTCATTCACTTCTTATCCACTTCTAAACTCTCCCAACTCTTTAACCTTGAGTAAGGTATAGATCTCGGCGCAAGTGAGAACACCAAGTATCATCGTTCTGCGGCGCTCAAGAAGTTCAGGCAGTAAGGCAGTAGCTGTTAGACTATTGACATCTCATCGCGGGTGGGCACCATGGCAACAAAATGTATCTCGTGGAATTAAGCCGCAGCAGCAGGTAGGAGAATCTCTATGCATCTGTTAGTAGACAAGTGGCGGAGCAATCTTTCAGAAAAATTCAGAGGTACACCTATAGTCTATTGATGCATGACAAAGCCAGTACTCATGGAGGTCCTTGAGACTTCATTATTGCAAGGTGGTTGGACGTATAGGCACAAGATACCTCAAGATCGCCTTCTTGTCAACAGATTCCCAGTAGTCAAGAACCCCTTGTCACCCACAGCACCCCTCCATTCAATCGAAAGCTGTCCCAGAACTGCCCTGCCATCTCGTCTCAGGTCCTTTTGCAAAGCTTCGAGTCCCTCTTGCTGCCCTTCTTCCTGCTCTACTAAGAATGCAACCTGCAGTACATCCCGTGGGTTCAGCGTGGGCGGCTGGGAGTCGACCTTATCCGGCCTCTCCAGGTCCCAGTTCAAGGAAACGGCTCTGAACGGCGGTTTCGGATTGAGTTTCGTTTGCTGTCTTGCTGTCAGAAATGATATCTTCAGTAAAATACCCCATCCACAAACCTTGACCACTACGGTGCCATCCCCCACATTCTCCAACTGCGCTTCCAGAGCGAATCGCAGAAGGCGGGTTTTCCCATACGGTCCCAACGCCTTATTCTCCACCTCCAACGGAGCCAGCTCCGAGGATTTCGTCCGGACACTGAGACACGGCTGCGCAACAAACTGGTACAGTTTACGGAATGTCCTGACCCGGCCGCTTGCAGCCTGCGCGTCAGACCCGATCAGCGTCTCGGTGTAGCTGATGCTGACGGCCAGGATGTGATTCCCTTCTTCTTTGAGATCGAAGCGCACGATTTTCTGCAGGGATTGTCCCCTCTGCAGGCCTTCTGTTTGGGCTGGATCGTTGGCCGGTTCCAGGTCTAGCGAGGCTACCTGGGAGGGAGTCTGCATTTCAGCGACGATGCGGACGGACGTGACGACGCGCGAGGTCTCGTCCTCCGGGAGCTCATTGTTGGCGCTGAGCGTGCAGGCGAATGTCTCCCCGACGTATGCCGACCCAAAGGAGGGCGGTAGAGTTAGCTGCCGGTTTGTTAGCTTGTGCTTGGTGGAAGGTGTTAAGAGCTTACGTTAGGACTCAGGATGAACTTGTCATCGGTACTGTCGGATGGGTAGCTCAGGGACGCTTTCCTTGAGATCTTGGTGTTTGCAGCCGGAAGGGGATATTGGTTGGATAGTGAAGGCCGCGACAGCCTTACTCGGTTAGGATAAGGCCAAAATGCTTCTTTGAGCTCGGCTTACCGCAATACTGAGGCCGGATCAGCGAGAGGTAGCTTCAGTTGAGATCTCAATAGTGCATACCTTTTAGGGAGACCGCATGCGGTTCTTTGGAGCTATCAGCACCCGAGTAGCCTCGCGGACGAGCCATATGTCTACCCTGAAGGAATTAGTCCTTCAGTCTATCATATCAAGAGGAATCGTTGAAAATACCAACAACAAGCATCTGTTTAGCCTAGGATGTAGTCATGTGGGGTTACATAATCCTTCCTAAAAAGGTATAGCAGTCTCATCTAGAGAGGTACTCCTACAGCAGTCAAAATATAACAGATGAGCGTATTTCAGGCCATCGACGACTGGAAATGCTGTATTCAGAATCAATCGAGACGCCACCAACCCCATGGAGATAGAAAGCTCGTCTAGTACTCCGAGTTCGACTATCAAATTCAAATACTTGGAATGAATGCTGTCTTCTCATTATCACTATTTTCACTACGGAGTATCTTGATAGCTTATCGCTGCAGCAAACACGACAAAGTACACAAACCCAGCAAACCTCCACGTATGATGATGATATACCTACGACGTTTTGTGTCATCGACTGGCTATTGAAGCATCTAGATAGGCGCAAAGGAGACAATATTCAAAGGTCAAGATGCAGCATCAAAAGAGTCAACTGAGTATCAGGCCTACATCCGCCTTCGCCAATTGGTGGATGCGATTAGGTCAGCGTTCCAGGTCGCGTCCGCTCAAAACAAATCTATCAACTTATCTAACGCCACCCCAGCTCAGATCGGTCTACCAACGTCTACCACAATTTCCCGTCATTCGAGTTGCTATATACGCGGCTCGTGCTACTAGTCAATATGGGAAGTACACGAACGACGATATCTCGTCAAACAATCACCAGCTCCTCGCCAGCGCAATGCAGAGTTTACAGCGCAAGCACACCCGGCAATACGCGGTCAACAACCAAGAGAAAGCGAGACGCCGATGATGACATTAAATCCGCGGCGATTCCGGTAAAAAATGCGCGCAGACGAGTGAATACCATCTCTGCAGCCTCAGCTAGCTCCATCGAGGTGATCGACTTGACAGCAGACTCACCCGCCACGACCCCGACCAAGAAGACTCGAAGACCCAAGAAGCGCCTTCCTGGCGAGCCGACCCCCGAGCGACGCGCTAGGCCGTTCCGTAAGCAAGCGCCAAAGTGTATAATGGATAGGATGGCGCGAGCGCGGACCCAGAGGTAGGATTTGACTGTACCCCTTTCGTGCGATGCTCACTAACCCGGCCATTGAGCAGGATGTGTGTCGTGGAACATTGTGTCACCGAGGTCAATGATGCGCCCGAAGTCGTGTTTAAAATGGCGGGGACGACTGGAAACCTGTATAAGGTTGTTATTGGGAAGGTGCCTTCCTGCGATTGTCCGGATGGAGGTAAAGGAAATCAGTGCAAACACATATTCTACGGTATGTCGACGCATTTCTTTCAACATTGTGTCCTTATCTGCTCTTCACTCGTACTGGCGTTGTGTCTCTATTTTATCCTTACAGTCACTAACTACTATGGCCTATCAAGTCCTAATAAACGCTCTCAAAGCCCCGGCACATCTACAGTATCAGCTGGCATTCTTATCCTCGGTAAGAGTTCACGCGAAGGACGCAATTGTATGAGTTACTTACACTACTGTATGTAGGAACTTCGCGAAATGTACCAGTCATCACCCCTCAGCAGCCAAAAAGAACAATCGGAGGACAACAACGGCAAGCGCAAGCCCATCGAAGGAGACTGTCCCATCTGCTTCATGGAACTCGAGCCAGAGAAAGACGAGATTGTCTGGTGCCGCGCAGCATGCGGGAATAACGTCCACAAGGCATGTTTCCAGCAATGGGCTGCAACGCAGAATGCGCAGGGCGTTCGTTGCGTTTACTGGTGGGCTCTACTACCTAAAGACAAAGATTGTGGAGACATGCTGACTCTCTTCTAGCCGTTCTGCATGGGAGACCGGTAGTAGCGAACTGGATCTGAAACAGCTCACCAAGGACGGATACGTCAACGAAGAAGGTTATGTCAATGTGGGGCATCTGCTCGGCATGCCAGGCGAACGCGGTACGAGACCGTCCCTGTACTTGTCCCCTTCGTTTTGTTTTTCATTTCTTGGAAAGGCTGCTAACTAACGCTCGGTGATAGACTCTTCAACATATTATCGGCCCTGGGGTTACCCGGGATCGTCCTATTATGGGTCGCGTAGGTCGTGGCGTTCGCGCTGGTGAATGAGTTTGCCTGCTACATGGTGCAAGGGCGTCGGTCACTGGGTTTTGGATTGCTAGATTGCTATATACCCCTATCTGTATTTGTGTTGCTTGATGTAATCCAATGATACTTCGCTTGTTGTCGAGGCACAGCTGTGTGATTCGTAGATGTTCAGTATATCCATCTCATGAGGTTGTGACTCAAAGCAGACTCGGAATTATGCTCGCCTGGTCGCTGTACATCAAGAGGCTTGACTGGTGATCTTCTTTGTCTGCGCTATCGATCTTGACGACACCGCTCGTCCAATGTTCAGTGTATGGACGTACTGAGGGCTTGGGGTTTGTACGGCTGCATTTCGCGGGCCGCCTTACTGCTTCGCGGCAGTTGCATCGGAGGGGTTCCAGCGTTATTCTCCATAAGAACGTGTTGCTGGTTGGCGATCAAGTTTCTGGAGACTAGGCCCTACCGTCAACCAGCTCTGATTACACGCTTTCCTCGATGAACGACAGCTACGCTGACTGCTTCTTCGCCCGTCATCCAGGACGGCATACGCTCCGGGTCAACGACACCCAGTTCGGCGAGCTTGCGGATACCGCTGATGACGTCCGAGCCGACAAAGGTGAGTGATACTGTTGGTTGCGTGCGGTCCACATCATGTTCGTCATCCTCATCGTCTGCCGGATCAAGCAGGCGCACGTCAAGGCGGTCCAGAGGGGCAGACGAGAGGGTTCCAGATGTGCCAAAACGAGAGTGAACAGCTAATTTGCGCTTCTTGGCAACATGGGAAATAGGCTCCATCTCTTTGCTCGTGTTGCTGTCCTCCTGGTTTTCGTTCTCCTTGCCTAGGTCTGAGTCTTGGTAGAAGTGCTTTCCAGGAGATATCGTATCCGACGGACGTGGGTCCAAGGGACTCCCTTCGAGTACCGCGTCCGCGAATATACTGAACGCCCCATTGGCCGCGTTGGATCTTCCAGGACCACGGAGCGCCAGCAGAGCTTGCAGGTTCTTCGCTGTCAGAGAGGTCGCTTTCAGGGCATATCGTTCTTGCGGCCGCGATAATGCTTTGGGTAAAGAGTCTCGGACAATGCGCTGCAAACTCCGAGCATCGGTTGCGACGGCATGGCTGGTGGTTGTATTGGATTTTGCGACGGATGATGTTGCTATGGACGTGTAGATGAAAGGGGAACTGTCGGGGAAAGCCACGTACATCACTCGAGATGAGTCCGTCAGAGCCTCGGGTGGCTGGCGAGGGTTTTGGTATGGAGAATTGGTCACTAAGATGCGCAGGAATGAGAGCGGAAGCGAGGACGAGCGGACGAGATGGTAATGCGCTTTCACCAGGGGAGAAATCTGCTGCTGAAGGTTGCTCAGGAAAGTGGTGGCGTGGATGCGCGGTAGACATGCGGAAACGTCAGGCGCCGTTGCTCCTGCGGATCGAGTTCCGTCCATGCCAATGCGACTGAGTTCAAATGCTGTCCATCGCAGACTTGCCGGATGGTCTTCCATATACCGAATGTCCACCATTGCCAGTTGTCGCAGGGTAATACCGTGTCGCCAGTCGCCCTCCAATATACGATCAATCACTTCCCGTTTGCCCCCCTTCCTTTCTTGTAAATCCTGGTAAGCATTCCGGACGTCCTCGATCGTTTCGGCGGCCGGGTACGGGCTGAGTTCATGGTCGTCGGGGTTCTCGGCTTCGTCTTGCTGAAGATATGGTGGAAATAATTGCGCGTTGCGATCATCGAGCCATTGGAATACCAGGTCCAGAAGAGCCTGGCGGGATAGCCGTGAGAATGACTTTATCAGAGATGGAGTCGAGGAGGGGATGCGGAGAGTGTTGGGTAGACTGGCGGCTGTAGGCGCACGGATAGCCTTTGGACGCGCCATTTCTGCGATGCATTGACCCTCTTTATACTATAGACGAAGCATAACCCTTGAAGCTGAGATAAATGACAAATGGTGCACGATTCCTTGGTGAAAGCTCGATTGCGACTGCAGGCCTAAGGCAGAAATAGATTAAAATAAACAAAGCAAAAGGGGTCACGTGGAGATAAGTCGGAGTTTCACGTGGTGATGACTTTCGCTACTTCCCGCTCTTGTATATGATTGGAGGAGTTCTAGCTCCAAAAACATTTGTCCCATCACGACGTTGTATTGGTCTGACATCAACCTTGATGATTCGCGAACTCAGGTTTATATAGAAATGCAACATCTGCCTCAAGACGTACAGGTATAAAACTCTTGTGGAGGAAGGTTTCATTTGAGCTAAATTACATTCAAGAGCACAGTTATCCAAGAGATGGTAGCATTGTAGCAGTAGTATTCATACGGCTACCCTCTCTAGGTGCTGCTATGCCGGGAGAGTCATCTCCATCCGACGTCCTACTCCTGCCGCGAGGTTTTCCCCGCGGCCTTGGTACCCCATACTGAACTGTCTCTATCTCAGTGCTCATCCTGCCTAGCAGAGTCGCTGTCGTCGCGCCTGACAGGGCCCCATATGGCCACTGCCAGTTTCGTTGAACTGATTTCAGCGCGTTCAACGGCTCTTCGTGGTCGACAAAGAAGTCGGTGTTCACACCCGAAACAATTCCACTTGTATCACCTGGATTAAATAGGGTTCCGCACGGGTCAGCGTCTCTGATATAAGGAACTGGGGAAGTCAACAGGATAGAATGGGCGTTTTCGCAAATGAAATCGAGGGATATTTTCGATAGTCACTTTCCACCATGAGATTCAGATAATTGCATCTTCGAGTTGCACTTGCGCCCGAGAGAGTTGGCGGCTGCCAGGTAAGTAGCCGGATGAGAGCTCATGACATCGTATATATCGTCGGAATCCTCTCTGAGTGTTGTCAAGAGCCAACTTGCAAAGCCCCTGTCACGATGATCCTTATCTGCCACAAATTGAGTGATATAGAAAACAGTTCTGCTCTTGGACTTCCAGCGGCAGAAGAACGGATTCCGACGATACTCCCATCAACGGTCACCCTAATGTAGAAACTCCAGCATCGTCGGTGGTAGGGAGTAGGTATTGCTGACGCAGTCGTCGTTCACTCAACTTGACCTGTTTTCCTGCCAAAGACGTTCGAAATATATGTGTAAGGAATTCTATATCCTGCTCACCTGCTTAATTTGATAGCTTTGCCCAGACCCCGTAGTTTTCGTTGAAAAGCTCCGCAGCTTTGACCAACATGTCGTCCGTAACCTGCACTCCAGTGAAGGTCTCGTCCACTTGTGCTATCATTTAATTGCTTTGATGCTTTGGTGTTCTCGGTGACTGGAATGTAGGAACTGGGTCGAATGTGACTCTTTAGGTTCGTTCGAGGGAAGGCGCTGGTGCTGATGGATTGTAATGCCAGCACATTCTTTGGAAACAGGTATTACTGCCTTCGGTATCACGCCGTGATGACGCTTACCAAGTGTCAGTTACTTAAACGCAGCAACCACAGCTGAACCTATCAATTCCGGCTTCTTGGACTACGTATCTCTTTAGGGAGGGAAAGGGCGAATTGCTACATCTAGACATACCATGGAAGAGCTCAAGAAGTGACCGTTGAACAGCTCCAGTGGTACTGGACGGTCGTGGTCTGATAATTCACGACCACAATGCAAAAGAGAAGTCTGCAGTTCCCTAGCATGCGCACATTTAAAGACCAGGTCCATTCCTGCGATGCAAAGTGGATTGATTTCAGTGCGTTGCTGTCAGTAATAACCCAACAGTAATCTCATTTAAGCAGGGTTACTACCCCGGACAGACCCCTTTCTTCAAACCACAAGGATACAGTGACCACAATGCAGATAGAGCAGCCCTAACTCTGACGAGCATGCCTATTCAATGCTCCGCAGATCTTCTCAGTGTGATTACGCATTATCAAAGATAGTAGCATTACTAATAGTGTTGCACTCCGCACTCCACGCAGCCCATAGTGCACGGACACACTCTGAACTAGGAAGACAGCCAAGCGAAATCTACAGGCGTACAGTAGCTTATCTGCAGCATCGTGAGCTACTACATTATGTTTGCAAGGGTCATGGCTAGGACTACAACTGAGATTCATGCGCAAACCGCGTCATGGATAAAAAAAAAAAAGGAGCTAAACCGGAATAATCCGTCAGATTGAGGCTTTGGAGCCAACCACTGACGCACAAGGGAAAGGAATACGAGATAAGGCAGGTTGATTATTGACGTGTGGGAGTCAATTTCCTTGTGATTATTGAGGAGTGAGCAGCCCTACTATTCGGCAGTCACACTGAACACAGGCTAAATCTAGCAGGGACACAAGTCATAGGTTGCATAGCATACGGACCATAGTACGTAGTAGAGTACATTGACAAAAACAGGTAGTTGACAGATTACCGCCATTCGCATACTTCATTGTGAAATAATGGTTCCGGAGATTAGACAGTGCCTGGTTCAAGGGCGTTTGAAATCTGGTTGACTCCGATCTCGGTCACCGAAAAAGATGACTCGGAAGCGATGTAATCCTTTCTCGATACGGAAAGTCAATGAGGCACAGTGGCGAGACAAAGGAACTTTTACCCTAATGTTGTTGATTGTCAGTGATGAAGATTTGAGTGAAAATATTCGATCCTATATTTTAAATGAGTACGCTTTGTATTGTTGCTCTAGAAGTGATAAAGTAAATGAATAGAATACTGTACTATCAAGCATCAATAGATTATTAGTCGTTTGCTTTTGTCAAATGCCGGCTGTGAAACCCTTCTTTGATTTTTAATCATTTGAGATCGGATCGCCCGACCATTCATCTTCGAGAGCGTTGACTTGCTTCCGCCGGATTAATCATCAGCCCACCCCCCACCCTGCGCAAATTCCCATCCACGCTCCCCGATCTCCCGCGTTCCACTGTGAGTATTATTCATTGTCTGGTCTCTTCGCTCCTCTCTCTTCTACTCTTTCATCTCTGGACCCTCTTCCATAGTTTCGACATCCACGCGACTATTCGAGCACATCAGACAAGTGCTACGGCATCTTCTCAGATTAGTACGGCGGAGTCATATAGACGAGTCATTCCGCCCCTCGTCCTGGACGCATTTGTCACCCTAAGAAGGCATCATCTGAAAAGAAAGCCAAGGAAGACAGCCAACAGCTACTACTCGATTTGTCTCGAAAACTTTATGATAGAGGCTTAGCCTCACTCATACATCATGTCCGGTTTCAACGGCCGCCGTGCGCCCAACTTCTCTCAATATCTCGAGGATTTGAATGCCATTCCCTCGCCGTACGACCAGGCTTTGCAGCAGCAACAGAGACAAGATACCTTCAACCTCGATGCTGAACTCTCATTGTTCACAAATACCGAGTTCTTCGATTTCGACAATCTCGGGGATCTCAACCTGCCTACGTTTGATGCCGTAAACGAAGACAGTGCGAAGACAACGGAACAGCAGAATGGAGGACCTGCTGCCCACAATCCCGATATGGAGTTTCTGGATCTTCTAGGGGGTGAGTGAAACCTAGTTCTAGTGGTCTGATCTTTTCCCTCATCCCAAGCTGGACATATGGCGGAATTGTTCCCCGCACAAGTTCGTCCCCTGTTCATTTAGCATGATCAATCATGCTATTACTGTCAATCGTGCTCAGACATTTTTGCTTCTTCTTCCCCTCATTGTGTCATACGACTCGTGATATCTTGCGCAATCCTTTTGGATCATTGGGGGCACATGGTTGCGGTTCGCTATTTCCGTTGCACGGGCCATCATTGGATGGGCAAAGCACCTAAACCAACCCCTGTCTGCATGAACCTTTTTCTCCTGTCTTTGTGCGGCTATCTTAAAAAAGGTTATGTGCTTCCTGCATCAAATTTGCAATTTAGCGTTGTCGTGAATGGGGTCAAGTATGGCGCGATATCACGTGACGTCTCTCGTCGCTGTCCTTGTTGCATTCATCTGGCACGAGTGTAGCAGGTCGCTCTCGTCAATCTCAGTTGCTTCAGCATGATGTTCTATCCTGCAATGAATTCTTATACTTGTGTTGTCCAGCTTGGCTTTCGAGGGACTGCATTTTTGATCGGTTGTGGCCTGAGGCTAATATCACACATTTAGATGGTTTCAACAACATGCCCGATTTTTCGGCAGCCAACTTGAACTCGATCAACTCTCAGCTTCCGGTTCAAAATACGCAATTTTCAAAGATCCCATCAATCCCTTCAGGGCTTTCAAATGCGCCCTTCAACGCCAACCCCACCCCGAGTCAGTCGAGTTCGTCTGCAACTTCGCCTACTGGCCCAGCTACCAGCCCAGTAGCTGCTCCAGCTCCCTCTGCAACGACTGCGGCGGGACCCAAGCGCAAGAACACGCAAAAGCCGGCACCTATCAGCGTGGAGGAGGCTGCCCGCATTGCCGCGGAGGAGGACAAGCGTCGCCGGAACACGGCTGCTAGCGCGCGATTCCGCGTCAAGAAGAAGCTCCGGGAACAAGCGTTGGAGAAGACAGTCAAGGAGACCACCGAGAAGAATGCCGCTCTTGAAGCCCGCGTGACCGCGCTGGAGCTGGAGAATCAATGGCTGAAGAACCTGATCACAGAGAAGAACGGCAAGTCGGCGGAGGAGACTAAGAAATCCGAGACCGACATTGCAAACATGTTCAAGAAGTTCCTCTCGTCTCAGAAGGCCGACGCTGAACGGAGTAGTTCCGAGTCCAAGATCGGTGTTGGCACTGCGTGAGCAGAGCTAAATCGAAAAAAAAGTTAAAAAAGAAAAAAGTGAATATATTGTTTTCCGTCATTTTTTATCACAGCTTCTCTGTTTATACTATTGGACCAGTATCTGGTTGATCATTATCTGGAGGCAATGAGGAAGGCGTCTCACGGAGCAAAGGGTGGATGAGCGAGTCTTATGATTGACGATGTGTTAATGTGTCTGTTTATCAGCGAGCCATATTGGATGGATCCCATCTAGACCGCAATTCATTTTTACTTAATTCATCTCAATGGATATGGGTAACACAGTTGGTAGGCAAGTCTTAGTGCTGTGTGGGGTGTGCACTATTATGACACCGATGGAGGCTAAGCAGCTTATGCACGGCATCAGAGATCAACAGCACTTTGTCCGTATTTAAATTACTTCAGACCTCGGACATCCCGTCATGATAGCAACGAATTCCACCTCAGTAGGTTTTCGTGCCAACATTATAGCAGAATTACCGTCGACAGCTGCCAGAATACTCCAATTTCCATATTCTACCTGAGTCTGGCCTCCGCTCTAGCAGGCCACACATGCCTCACCATCTACAATCGCTACCAGATTTGTAAATCCAACGTCCAATGGCAGAGCAAACGTTCCCACAAACCCGTCCTGTTCACCCTCCTGTCCTGCGCCAGTCTAGCGTCGACATGGTTCTACATGCTCGCCTTCTTCGCTCATTCCTACCGCTCATGGCGGGGCCAGCGCACCCTCGCCCAGGGGCATGAACCCGAGCGCGCCTCTCTCCCCATGAAAGGGGAACGTTGGCTGCGCGACACGAAGCTATTCAAACAGGTGTGGGAGACTGTCTCCGAGATCCCGGAGCGGCATTGGTGGAGGCTGTAGAGGTTTCTGTCACGCTGTTTTGGACTGAATATGAATTTGCAGAGGCGTCGAATAAGACTGAGAAACCAAGTGATGGGGTTCATGGCGAGTTGTGTGTTGGGAATGAATACCTATGAGTGAGGAGAAAAAGCAGCAGCCGGTGTACGCGTGGTAAACACAGATCTGCTGGTCATCACGTCCGGGGCCAGGATGGAGCCAAATTCAATTATTAGACGTCGCTTAGTCCCATTATTCGTGTCATATAGTATATACATATATATATATGCTAGTATCTGTCATTGGTTCCACAGACTGACTTACTAAGTATATGCAGGCATCTCACGTCAGACTCATGATTCGACCTCATCTCTCCCATGGGACTTCCACCCCCAGGTCGGCTGCCACTCGCATCGCTGAGACAATACAACCCTCCAAGAGCACCATTCCATCCCAGCACCATCCTCCCGCTAGATACACGCCGTTATCGCCACTGCGCCAGTTGATCGCCTTAGAATCAGCGCGTCTGCCCTCTTTGTCAAAAAACGCGATTGATGAGCCGCCGGCTCTGCGGACTTCGCAGCACGCGCGTAAATGACACCGACTGAATGACTTTGGTCTCGTCGATAGGCGTTAGCGGGTTTGTCGTGACAAGGACCGAGTTTGGCTGCACGTGGACCGATTCCGTGGTGGACGCGTTGGAGCGCAGGAAAATGTGCTGGGGGGTGCCGGCTTTGCTAGAAACCCTGACTCCTGGCTTGACTCCCGTTCCAACCTGCGGGAGATTGGCAAAATCCGTATGCGCCACCGTCTTCACCGTGGTCGTAGGGACGTCGCTCAGAGTCGTTGACAAGGGCTCGAAGATGTGCGCCACGACGTCTGGGGACACAGCCAGAACAACCAGGTCGAACAATTCGGTGATTTCCCGAGCCTCGCTGTCCGCTTTGCGATACGAGAGTTCAACTCCGTTCGGAGTCGGCGTGACTTTGGTCGACTGGACACCAAGCCGCACGTCTAGCCCACGCAGGAGCGTCTCCTGGACAGTGTGGACCCCATCTGTCACGACGTAATGCGGTTGGCGATGCATCGAACTCCCAGAGAGTCATACATGCGAATGAGATTGCGATAGAAGCCGCCAGCAAAGGCGCGCATGGGCACGTCGGCCCACACTAATTTGCTAACCCGCATCGTTCTTGGCTAAGGAATGAATCCATCAATCAATCATCACGAATTAATGATATTATGATCACCCACGGCAAGGGAACCTTCAGAGCAGAAAGCATGTGCTGTTCCACCCTATAGACTAGCTTCTAATAAATTGGCTTGGACCCTTGGCTCACTTTGGTGCTGTCTCCAGCGCATTTCAGCCACTGACCTTGCATTGGTGACCTTCAGGGGTCGAACATTGCCATTGTTGAGAATGATCTTCCTTCCAGCGCCACGCCACATACTTCTGACATTTTTCCTGGGTTTGCTGGTATTTCTACAGTTGTGATTGTGACCATCCTTCGCAAACTGAGAATTGACGTTGGTATACACATTAAGCACTACGTACTAAGCTTAAACCGCAGGTATACATACGCAGTCAAGTGTCAACTAGCAGTAAATAATGAATAAAGTTAATCATGCTAAACAATGCCAGCGGGATATCAATAGTGTCCATGCATCCAACAATCAAGGTATACCTAGATACAAAAACCAGTAAAAAACCCAAACTCCCAGGTTAAGGAAAGTTGACTCCCATCCCAAGCAAACAGACCTCCATCCTTCCTTCGCAACCGGGAAACAAAAATGCAAAAAAAAAGCAGGAAACCGCTGGTAATATTCTAACCCACTCTGTCATGCAGATATTTTGCGTAACTTCGTTGCGCAGCTCACGGAAGACTCTCCTGCGTATAAAGTCATATCATGTTCGGCATCATCAATTCTTTGTCGTCGCAGTCGTTGTCGTCTCAGTCGTCCCTTCAGGCCCATCATCAAAGGAGTCCTCCTCCTTCAATTCTGCTGGCCGCTCTTCCTTGTCCTCTTTCTCCCGGTCGCCTTCATCGCCAGTTATCTCACCCCACCCTGAGCTGCGGCGACTGACCCTCCCCGTCATGGGCTGATTGACGGACCCGCTGGCGATCGCGGCACCCATCCCGCCTGAGATGCTCGCCGCATAGCTGTCGTTGCGACTGTGCGAATACGCTGCGCTCTTGACACTTGCACCATCCCCCGCGCCTGGATTCGGTTTGTTATGGTAGCTCCCTCGCTCGCCGCTCGCGATCGCACCAGACGCTGAGTATACACTAATCCGCTCCGCGCTAGCGAGACCCACCATGCTGGGACGATTGAGTACTCCGGATGTATTGAACGTGGACGTGTTGGATGGCTCTCCAACATTTGCACTAAGCACGCTCAGTGGCAGACTCTCCCGACTCCCACCAAATACAGAGGACGGCGCAAGAGCGCGGACCGATGCGTTCGTATCCAGCGAGTTCCTGCGGCGCCGTTTTGAAGACGAAGCCAGAGTGAGGATGGATGCATTGTCAGTAAGAATATTGTTGGCAGTCGCAGTGCTGTATGTATGGGAGTGGCCGTGAGGGACAAGGTGGGGTGGCACCGCGGTCGCGGGGGAGGAAGGAAATGGCTGGGAAAATTGTACTTGTTGATTCGCGGTGCTGTGCGTCGAGTTTGCATGCGCTAGGCCCTGATGTGTAGTTTGCACGTTGTAGAAGTGGGTGGACGGCGCGGCGGATTGCACGGTAGTTAGGGTAGTTGTCAACGAACGGACCGACGGCGCGGGCGAAGAGAAGGTACTTCCTTCGCCTCCGCCCTGAGAGCTGATCCCTTCTCCTGCTGTCGCCATCGTCCCTGCCTTGGAGTATGCTGCCTCCGAAATGGCGGTGTCCCCATTCGTTGAGATGGTCAGAGCCGTTGACTTTGCACTTGTCGCAGACACCTGATTGTCGTATCCGGAACAGACAATGGAAGGTTCACTATATGAGCACGATCGTGGCCCATTCGCAGCATTGGAATCCGCGACGGAAGACACGAAATTACTGCTGCATTCCCCGGCAACGTTCGTGGTACCGGAGAGGGGGTAAGGGTTGTTCTTGTTGTTTCTCTTGTTCTTTTGAGCGTCATGACGTTTATGGGACCAGCGAATTGTGCCGGAATCGGTCGAGGAGCCCTTCAGACTGGTGAGTCTCTTCATCCAGCTAGAAAATGGGTGGCGACGTCCACTGCGAACTATCATCTGTCAATTTGGGTTTGTCTCGGGAGGGGCAGAATGCTTGCGAAGACGAACCATGAGTCCGCGCAGGGACATCAGCTGTGGCCATTTTGGCCGCGTAACGATCTGCAGGTAATTGCAAGGTCAATAATTAGAATTGAGGATTTCCAGATAATCGGTGTTGCCAATCAATGTCGAGCGAAGGTGGTCGCAATACAGGTGACAGAGGGACAAATCGGGCAATCAGATAAGCCACAAATCACCGAAGCATGGGTGGCTGCTGAAGTCTAGGTGCACGGTTCGTCAGATCTCCAGCTAACTAGAAATAATTTTCAATACTGCAGAAGAAGAAGAAAGAGGAGGAGGAATGAAAGGAGTCAGGTTAAACCAAGGGAGCAAGAGAATATGATGGCTGGGTAAATGCTGGCTGCGTCTACAACACCGTCAGGAGTCCCAAGGGGGATGACTGCCAGCACGTGATGGCTGCCTCGGGCCCAAATCAACCTGCCCTGCCGTTTCTCCTCTCCTCCCCCGTCATGCTGACTCGAAATGGCTGTATTTGAGCTGAGATGTGAGCGAAAATAGCTCTTTAACAATTAACAAAACTTCATTTCTGTCCGGTAACCAGTTCCTGAGAAAACTAGAGAAATAAGCAGGAAAAGCACGAGAGGTGGCCCACTATCTGCGCCAAGTCCACCTGGATTATATGATATTCTACTTTTCTCCATTATAGAGCCTCATCATTGACTATAGTTAAATCTTCATACAACTCGCGACCGCTATCCTTCGTTTTGAAGCTTGGTTTCATCTGACTCAAGGTGATATCTTACTGATGGCAAGTCTTTATCTCAAGTACTTGATCTGCGTGTATTGCAGGTCGGACTGATCCTGCTGCGTCCCAGCCATAGAATTGATCATTCAACCTCTTTCATTGTCTAGTGACATTGGATCTCCTGTCAGGATAGACGGGGATAGGATCCGCATATTTTTCTATAGTACCACCCCTCTGTCCCATATTGTGTCGCTCTGGACTTTGGGCTGGTTCCGGCTGCTGGAGTGCATCTTACGAAGAACAATCGTCCAGGCTGGCGACGTCTGCCGGAATGCTCGGGAGAGTCTTGCATTCAGAAGGGAGTCAATGAGCGGGCCCACAGATGTCATTGTGCCACACCCGCTATAGATACTCAATCCAACAAACCACTTCGAGTGCGAAAATAGCAGCAATGCGCAGTAGTCCGCCTTCACGATGAATACGCAAGTATGGTGCTTTCCACTTCTCCTTGTCTTTTATTAACCCTCCGAATGGATCAGCGGAACAAAGTTTAGTGATCTGCAATTGTTCGGACATTGCTATCGATGGCGCACATCCATTCAGTGGACGACTTAGTTGTGGTAGTGCACATGCAGCTGAGCAAGATAAATGGGTGGCAATGCCGTCGTCGCGCCCTCAACAGCCACTCTCACGTGGATTTTCCAGGTGGAAAATTTCTTACCGCGGCTACAACCCGCGTTGCCAAGGCGCTAGCTCATAAACAAGCAAGCACTTCCAAAGACATGCAGATTGATTGATCATGATTTTGCTTGACACTGCAAGCAATCCTGCCCATAATACATGAATTCTCGATCTCTCTACAAGTGATAATGCGCGAGGCTTCAAAACAAACCGTCGCTGTCATCGGTTCTGGGATGGCAGGCCTGGTGGCGGCGTTCCTTCTCCAGCGCGACAACGAAGGAAGATACAGGGTGGAGGTGTTTGAAAAGGTACGATTATAACCTGCCAGATTTTGTATTTGAGGACGGTTGTGTAGCTTCTAATTTATATCAGCAAGACCAATTGTCATTAGATTCAGCATCATACACCCTGGAAGCGGCCACCGATGGTCTCCCTCACCGCGTCGATATACCGATGCGCGCGTTCGATGATAACTATCACATCAACTTGAAGCGAATGTACGACTTCCTTGGTGTCGATTACGTATCCCCCAAGTTTCTTTATTCCCTATCCCGAATTTGTCCTTCCAGCGGAAAGAGAGAACCTCCTTATTTTATTCACTCATCCAGCAACCACCGAGTACCCCCGATCCGTCCTAGATCCCGGAGTCGCGTGGACTGGATTGCCGAAACATTATATTTGACAATTTGTTACTTCTGGTTCATTGTGTGCTGTTTTGTTGTTGGTCCGAAAGGAAAATCTGTGTCCTGTGGGAACGAATCGCTTCGACGCTACCTTGAGCGGATACGATTGCCTCAGTATTTCGCCAGGTGCTATCTATTGCCGTTACTGTCAAGCATGACCACTTGTTCGCATGCTGAGCTTCTCGATTTTCCAGCTATTGATGTCATAGACTACGCGACGAGAACATACCGTCAGCCGCATTACACTGTCGTGGGCGGCATTCATCGTGTTCAGTCAAGAATATCCGAAGGACTGGCCATTAGGCTTCACTCGACTGTCACTACTGTCGAGGCTGCTGGAACGAGGTGTCGTATCACATGGATCGATTCCCAGGATGACAAAGTGTTCTCGGCACAATATGATCATGTTATCATGGCTGTCACTCCTGATGTAGTGGCTGCTATATTCAAGCCGCTAGAGAAGTCTCTACGGTCGATCCCCACCGTTAAAGGAGACTGCATTGTTCATTGCGATACATCCATTCTTCCCGATGGCGGTTTGGTATATACAGAAGCTAAGAGAGCACTGGAGCCGCCGGAGATTATGTATATGGTTTCCGACAATAATTCAACCGAATCTGTCCACATGCATCGTTCTTCTGTCTTGGTGACAAATTTTCCAATTGAGCCCATCAATTCGAATAAAATAATTCACCGCGCACGGCTGACTCGGGTATTACGGACTGTGAGGAGTAGAG